CCTGGTGCAACTACTTTAGAAATCAGTGTGGAGATTCCTTAAAAAAACTAAAACTAAAACAAACAAACAAAAAACTAAAACTAGAAATTCCATTTGACCCAGTTAGTCCCCTTCCTGGTATCTTTCCAAAAGAATTAGAAGCATCATACCACAGTGATAAACACCCATGTTTATTTACATGCATGTATGTATGTGCTTTGAGCTAGTCTACACTATGTAGCCCAGGGTGGCCTGAAACTCAGCGATCCTCCTGCCACTGCCTCCCAAGTGCTGGGATTACAGGCCTGCATCATCATGCCCAGTGCATGCTCATGGGTACAGTGGCACAGTCTAATAGCTAAATCTTGACAAGAGCCCTGATGCCCATCAACTGATGAATGAATGAAGACATTTTTTTAATACAATGGAGTACTACTCTGCCCAAAAAAGGATAAAGCTTGAGGTAAATGGATGCACCTTGAGACCATATTTTTTTTTTTGAGACCATACTGTTAAGTGAAATAAATTGTACACATGTTTAAATACATTATTTTTCTGGTATGATAAACTGAGAACATAAATAAGGACCAAAATGTATAACAGATATTGGGAGATAGGAATAAAATGTTCAAATGTGAAGGGGAACAAGGGAGGGAGAAGGGGGAAAGGAAAGAAGGAACAAAGAACATGGAAGCCTGGTGTGGTAATGCACACTTACAATTCTAGCACTTCAGAGGCTGAGAATCACTGGGAGTCTGAGACCAGCCTGGGCTAGGTAGTGAGTTCAAGGCCAGCCTGAACTATTCAGTGAGACACTATCTCAAAACTAACCAACTAACTAAATAAAAAAAAATTGAAATGGGCTCTGTTTGCATGTGTCTTGAACTAAGTTCCACCTCAGTTACCCAGAACAGTTCTGGAGGACAGCTTTATGCAGAAGTCAGGCATCAACCATTTCCCCGGTGACCATACTTTTGAAGTCCCTTTCCTCACCTAAGCCCTCCTCCATGCAATTTACTGTCTTCATCTGTTCCCTTCTGGGCGACTTGAAGACTGGCAGCTGGATGCTTTGTTCTCATTTCTGCTTCTCCCCGTGACCCGTGGCCTGGTCCCATAGCCAGAACCAAGCAGACGCTGAGGGTTCCGCAACCCCCCATACCAGGGGAGCTGGGGGGGG